TCGCTGAGAGATATATATAAATATATATATATAGTTATATATATATATATATATATAAATATATATATATATATATATATATTTGATTAATCCCAGGACAGATGTAAATTAATTACAATTAATCTGGATTATTTAAGATTAATAACTTTAATTGATAAATATTAAAAGACCAGGGGTGTCAAACATACGGCCCGCTTAGGTGTTCAATCTTGTCCAAATGATGAATGAGGCCAGTGAACCAAAATGAGTTTGACACCAATAACATAAAACACCTGTTTTTACTTGTGACTAATCCCAATGATAAAGTTACCAAAGTGGAAAAATGTGCCAAGAAGAAATTTTGTTTTATAATAATTAATTTTTCATTTTTATATCTCATATTTATTTTAACATTGAAATTGTAAAATAAAATATTTAAAGAGTCAAGATGCTTTACAGCTGCTGACAGTCATCCGTGCTGTTTGTACATCACACTGACATTTACGGCAGTTTTTTTTTTCTTTCTTCAAGTCCATTATAGCAAATGCGAGAGCAACATTTTGATGGTCTTGAAAGCAGAACAACGAACAGTAATTACTCCCCATGTAAAAACCCCTTCTCTCACATTATCACAGCTCTATTTACATTTATAAACACTGCAGGCACAAGCCACAGTACTCTTATGTAAACCACTGGGAAACAAAAACACCGTGGTACTTGAGAGGGCAGATGCTCTCACTGTGACCACACAAACCATGTCAGAAACCAAACCACAAACCACCTCAGCCTACAGCAGGCACTCGGCCTCACGGCTGTACGTACAGAAAAGGCACAGTGTTATAATGACAGGAGGGCGGTTAGGTCTAACATATGTTTCAATCTAATACAAAGAGCTAACTCTGGAATCATTTAACCTCTTTCTTCAACCAATTTTCAAAATGTTATTTATCCTTGTGGTTTGAAACATATTTTTCTGTCTTAAACTGAATGTTAAAAACGACTTTTTGGCTCTAGATAAAAATAAATTTGAAGGAATTTGGAGTCTCCTGAATCGACCAAACTTAATGGCCTGCTGTGTGTGTGTGTGTGTGTGTGTAACTGCCTATTCATACTCACCACCACTTGGTGGTAACTGACTCTGGCAAAAGTCAACACAGGATCAGACTAAACGACAGAGTGGGAGAAAGGAGTAATAGGAGGAGGAGGAGTAAAAGGAGCGCAGGCTGAGCATAATTTGGAAACTATGTGGCATATTTTCCATTTTCTGCACGCACTGGAGCCTGTCCTGTCTCCCAACTGGCAGACACACAGCAGGAGAGCTTTAAACATCTCTCACAAAATATCGGCCCGTTCTCACAGTAACCTTCGGACTGATACTACAGCTCCACGAGAGTTAAACGGCTCATCTTTCACCCCAGCGAAGATGACTGTGCTGTTGGTAACGATAAAATATGGAGAAAACAGAAAAAGTGAAACTGGAGCGACATCACAGGATGTATAATTTGTGGAGTGTCAAAAACAAATACGGACACAATGAACGTCTGTATTTATGCTTTATTAAACCGTTAAGAGCGACTTCTTAGAGAGGCTCTCTGTTGTGAGGCTGTGATTAATGGTGAGGATTTGGTCTTATATCCGTCTCCTCTATAGCTTGGCAGAACAACTTAAGAAGTTGAAGCTGAGGAGTGATGTCATATCATATGGGTTTTTTTTTTTTTTGGCCTTTTCTCTTGAGCTGCAGTGAGGTTGAAGGTCAGCTGGCTCAGCATCAGTCACATCAGTCAGCCTCTGTTACTAATTATTATTGAGGGCCTCAGTCTAATCCCCCTTTAAACAAGCACAACTCTGAAGGGACAAAGACAACAGTATTCCTCATGTCTCTCCGTGAACTGTGGGTTCGTGCGAGTCGAGAAGAGCGACAACTAAAGGTAGAAAAGCCTGTGGTGGAGGTTATTATACTTTACTACACATTATTACACTGCAAACTTAAGAGTCAATAAAGCATTTAAAAGTAGAGATGTCCGAAATTAACTTTTTACATCTGATATCCAATATGCCAACATTGTCCAAGCACTTCATTTCCGACTCCGATATCAGCGATTCCGATTCCAAGCAGTGGTGGCCTGGTGGTTAAGGAAGTGAAGTGCTGCCTGCTCACAAAGGCGATGGGTTAAAGCAGTGTTTATCAATTATTGTCTGCCATGCCCCCCTAGAGGGGACAGAAGGTTTTTCACCGTCCGCCCAATTATTTATTTATTTATTTATCTGTACAAACCACTTTATGAGTTGCTGGCACCAGAATTCGGCATACGATTCCCTGACTATTACAATAGATTAATAAAATGAGCTGCAATGCTGCCATCTAGTGGCTTTCACTTTCACATACAGCCATTTCTCCCCAAATCTATTTTTAGGTCACACATGATTTGGCGAAACCCAGACATTGTGTTATCGGGTTTTCATTATCGGAAGAAAAAAACAATAACGATTCTTACAGATATTACATAATTACGTTAATTACGGGCCGATAATATCGGCCATCTCTATTATCAGACATCCCTAATTAAAAGCTTTATTAGATCCCTGGTTTTATTGCAACAACATATCTTTTTTAGCTTTAATGAGACTGAAAAACTCACTTTTCCCAAAATCCCAGACACCACAAACAGAAATATAACAGTTTAACTGAAAAGTTTCAGCCACAGTGAAGCTGAACTTTAAAAACAGCAACAGCAGATGCAACGCTGCATCTGCAGCAAACAAGCAGACAGGATATGAAAGAGCGTTTGTGGAAGATGTGGAATATCTCGCACCTAAAATTAAAGTTTGATTTGCAATTTTCTGCACGTGTGAGTGTGTGTGGCAGAGGCTTGACATTCAGATGATGCTGCTCCACAAGTTTCATACACACATCTCTGAAGGATGCGGCCAACACCGCAATCCATATTCAGATCATTAGGACATGCAAAGGATTTGGGACCACCATCGTTTCCTTCAGAGTGATGTTTTGTCGTGGGTGTTTTTCCAATCTTTTACTTTAGGTCAATTGCTCGCCTGTTTCAAACCTGTACTGGTCTAAAAACAGAATATAACTGGAGATAAATCTTTCCACATGATCTACTTTGAGCCAATCACACTTATGCACGATCGGTTGAACAGAAAGTAGTTCCCATGAGAATGAACCAAAGCCTAGAAAGTACCGTAGTTCCCATGAGAATGAACCAAAGCCTGGTATAAATAGAACCACACACAGATGATGGATACACAGCTTACCTCAAAGACTTCCTCATCAAGTATTCTAGTTCCAAAAACTATAATTCCTTTGGTATCGATGATTGGACTGGGGCTTCTGAGCAGCTTCTGGGCGGTCTTCTTTTGACAGTCCAGTATGAGGGTGATGGTCTGCTTGTGCACACTGATGGCCACTCGATGCCACCTAAAAAAATAAAAGGGAAGTTAATTCACGTGCTTATTGGGTAACATGTAGCCCACTCAGTGTTCACAGAGCTGTTGTAACAACATACAGTATGATTCAGATGCATGTCCATGTTTTAAAAACACTACATCATATGGACATAGAAGTGGTGGATCACAAAGTGGGGGGGTGTGGCCCCCTATGGGGCATGGAGCTTTTGGTGAGGGGGATGGAACAAGTAAAATTAATTTCAATCTTAGTATTGTCTGTAATAAAGCCAAAATTGCACTTATTTATTTATTTTTTCATCAAAACAGCAATTTTGTACTGATTACAGTTTTTTGATCAAATTTTAGCGTAGATCACATAGCTGCGTAAACATCGACTCAACAAAAACAATGGTTTGAAACTCATTATATTAACATTTCAAGGCTAATATTCCTGGAGGCAGAAACCAGTGAACCTACTTTCCGTCAGCTAGGTTGACTCCTCTGAACAGGGGGTAGTCCTCAGGGCTGGGTTTGCCCGTGTGGTCCTCATACAGGAACACAGGAGAGCGTCCTACTTCCAATCCAAGCTGCTGGATGCCCTGTTCATTGTACACGGACAACAGGAAGGACTGGCTGCCCTTCTTGGGCTTCACTGTGGCCAAGATGGAAAAGTCCTCTGGGAACACATCACCTGGCAAGAGCAATAGTGGATTGTACAGTGAGAGACAAAACCTGGACAGAGCTTAAACATAGTAAGAATCCATCATGGGAGGAAGGAAACAGTACTAAAAATACTGGAGTTCAAGATGTGGTAATCACTGTTGTTTTAGGAGACGGAGCTCCTCGGCGTCAAGAGAGGCTATAAAATCATTATTGTTACTGCAAATATAAGAAAGAACTCTAAAAACAACATAATTCATAGTTGAAAACTTTGATGGCTTGGAGATTAACTGGAAATAAAGAGCAGGGGATTGAGAAAAAAAATGAAGACAGAAATCCACAGTGGGTTCTTTTCCAGCCCATCAGGATGGGGAAAATGCATAATGACAAAAGCATGAGACTCAGAGAGACTTTGTCAAAAATCCTTTCAACCCGTTCTCTCCATTCTTCTCTATTCCCACCGCTGATAGTTCGAGCAGACACAGAGATGCTGCAGAGCCGGGTTGGAAAGATGTAATAAGAGAAAGGTCTTTTTTACAAGAGCAACATTTTGAGCCACATATATGTGGAAATGGAAATACCAATCATACTTTTCTATTTGAACAATAAAAGGTGCAGAAACACGCGTTCTTCCATCTGCTTGCTTCCCTTTCCATATGCCACCTCAACTGCTTCCTTCATTTTGCCTACTGACAGTGTGTGGCACATCTGCCAGACAGACTCCTTCAGTGGGGGCGTTCACAGGACCCCAGGATGAGGGTTGGACTGTTCCAACTTTTTAAAGAAAGCGATTCTTTCTTAAGTAAAAGTCTGGCTCAAATTTTAAAAAAAAACAAAACAATGCTTCTGACATTTTAGTATATACTAATAAAACAATCATTCTTAGAAACCAAGTTTTTGGATTGGGTTTTAACATTAACAGAGGAAGTGACCTGGACAGCAGTAGCTGTTTCTCAGTCTGTGCAAAGCAGAATTCCAGACAGCCGGAAAAGAGGGGCGGAGTTTGTGGCCGCTGTGGTTTTGTAGCACCTCGTACAGCTATTAAACCCCCTTTCTTTCTTTCGTGCTGCAGGGCTGGAAAATGTGTACTGGAGTGGCTAGGCGTACAGTCAAAAAGAGCGAAGGAAGACGACAAATCAGAGAGACTGTGGTGTCGAAACCTGACGCTGGAAAGAGATAGTGGAAAAGTCAAGAGGAGAAAAGAAAACAGCAATTTGTTTCCACTGTTCATTTATTTCTTCTTCTTGCTCTCATTGTTTTTCATCCAGTCAGCATCTGTGTGTCTGTTTGACCACCTGTGTTTTCTTTTTTTATTTATCCGATTTCTCTTTTATTATATATATATATATATATATGTATGTATAAAAGTTGAAAAAGAGAAATTGCTGACTCAGTGGTACCTCAACAAAGTGTTTTTTTACAGGGCAGGGGTCAGCAAAGGTCACAGTGATTTAATGAGACCAAGGACCATGGAACAAAAAATCAAATCTTTTTTATCAGATGTTCAATATCAAGCAGAAGAAATAGGACGTATTTATCTCATATTCCATATTTTTAGTGTTGAAGTGAAAAACACCTCCTTCTCACTTTCTCCTCAGGATCTTATTATGAAGCAGCAGAGGAGAGTGAGGGGTCACTCAGTGAAGCTCAGGTTACGCCGGAATGCCGCTCCGAAGCTGCTACTTAGGCCAAAGATGAGAGATAAGTCATTCTTTATTTTGTTAGTTTGTGTGTGTGTGTGTGTGTGTGTCTAGACATGGTGAGAATGTAAAACGACTGGTGCTTGACTAGATTCATCTCAACTAATGCAGCATCCAGCTGAAGGAGTCAGTGACAGACGAGGACAAGGATTTTAAGTGGAAGTCCAAATGTCTATCTTGGAGTCAAATGCAAACAATTTTTAACAACTATTTTACTTATATTTAATAAACAACTACATTATTGTTCCTGCAGTTTTACATTTTTTTTATTTTGCATTTACTGTATTTTCTTTTTCAACTGAATGCTAAACTCTCTACTCCCACTCTGTCAAAGACAGCAGGCAGAAGCTCAATAGAAACTATTAGCCAGTGGTGGCTAATGTTGGGTCATTCATCCAACCAAATGTCCAGATTTTGACACGTTCCGATGCAGAAATCAGTCGTACTTTTGTTTAGATTTTTCAGATCTATTTTTATGTATCATCAGGGAGTCTTAGTTTTAGAAAATGTTTGTTTTTTGTCACAACATTGTTACAACAATTTCTATACTCGCTTTATATTCGCAATTTGTAAGATGATTTGGAAGATGTTTCTCTATAAATACACTTTGATGGATACAACATCAAATCATGAAGTGTGCTGTAAATTTCAAACATCCATTCTTTCCCCAAAAAGTTTTAAAATATTGAAATGACATGTGCTTTAACTCTAGTGCAGCCTGTTATTACAGAAATAAGATGGCTTTTTTCTAATACCTGCCTAAGAGCGAAAAAAAGGAGGAAGGGAGGGGCTGCACCAACATCTGTCAGTGTGCATGCAAGCAGGTAGATGGCGTTGAAAGTCATGCGTTGTGTAATTGGTCATTCAGTCATCGTTCTGCCCAAATCCTTCTCTCTGTATAAGACGAGCAGCATTCCATTAAGATTGCACATAGCTGCTGAGAAGTGTACCTGCCGGCGAGGCGTGCAGGAGAGAGGGGAGCGTGGACAATGGGTGTAGTGTAAAGGAAGATGGATGAGTGGTGCATGTACAGAGGCAGGTGACCCCCCGCCCCCCAGTGTAATGGGCTTTAACTAAGCAGAGGGGCCCACGATACATGAAACTGAATTGGTAAATAGTCTGAACCTGCACAGGCTTTTGTGGACCTGATGACAAGTGAAGAGCCTAAGAACCTCACAGTGTTTCCACAGTGAAGGGAAAAACAGGATACTGTTTAGCTTCAGTGCCCAAAATACAATAACAACTCAGTTATTAGTTTGGTCATTTCATTAACTGAATCTAGGCTAAAGAAAAACACAATTAGTTGTGGTTTCCACCCGTCATTCACAGTATTATTAGGTGCAGATGGTCAATTTCTAGATAATCGGATAATGTACTCACAGAGTCACTTTCTGTTAAAAGTTTACAGAGTGGTTGTACAATATACTTCATGACACTAGATTTTGTACAGTATATTAGTAGGTAATAAGACATGTTTGACACTGGTTGACATAGTAAATTATTATTGTAAATTATATTACTTTTTTATCAAATTCAGTGGTTCTCAAACTGTGGTTGGTGCAACACTGGTGGCACTCGGCCTCTCTAATGGTACATGTGTGCTTATAATAAATATAATATAATACAATTCTTTTAAAAATAGTGGTGCATGTAAGACGAAGTTTTTTAGAGGTGTTGTGTTTCTTCATTGTATGGCTGTTAAATATAAAAACAATAATAAAGCTCGAATGTTGGTGATCATGGTGGACACATTCATCCACTCAATCTTGGTTGTTTACGGTGCTTGGCTGATTGGAGTAGTCCAGGGATCATTTGTTGAACATTTTTAGATTTGGGATTGTTGTGTAAAAGGTTGGGGAATTAAGGATCTAATTAAAAGGCCAGTGCAGCGTTGCCACTGCCGTCCAGTTTAAAGAAACTGCCCGGTGACAGCAACTTCCCCTAAGAGCAAGATTTTTTTAAAAATGCCCGGTGACAACTTCCCCTAAGAGCAAGATTTTTTTTCTTATTAATTTCAGGCTAATGCCAACACTGTTTCTAATTGGTTGGAAAGAACCTTGACTTCAAATAGTCCGAACCACAGTCAAGACATAAGGCAATGTGAATTTGCATATCCATGATGTGCCAGGGTCCTGTTGAGGTTGCCGGGTAATTTGCGTTCATAAAGCTGAGCAGACATGGTAACAGTGTAGAATTAAATTAAACGATGACTGAATGCTTTATTCCACTGTTTGTTCGGTTGCCATTCAGACAATAAAGGTAAGAAAGGCCTCCTCTGTTTCACTGCTTCTCTCATTTCTAATGAATCATCTCTTCCACATGTTTGCCTAATGATTACATGTCTGCACTTGCTGGTTTCCAACACATCATCACAGACTGTCTGTGGTTCTAAAGCCACAGGCCAGAGTGTTTTTAATCAGAATGAGCCCATTTACATGCCTTTGTTTTCTTCTATGTGTTTCGATTTAATTTGTACCTTGGGCTTGAAGAAAGTTGTGCTGATCATTTAGGCTAACTGGACCTCCAGGCTTTGGGCCAAAGTCATAAATCAGAAGCTAACTGAGTTAAGGGGAAAAACAGAAATGGATAAAATGATCTCACAAGCTGAGCTGTTCTCTGGATTATATTAGCTTCATATTCTCCCAACGTTGAAAGAAAATGCACCACAAAATTGTTACTTACTGTAGGGTTTTTTTGTACCGATGATATTTTTTGCACCTTTTGAGTGCCTGTTTTGAAATCCTGCTGGTTGGTTCAGTTTTATGCAGACTGTTATTTTGGATCAGCCACAGTAGCTCGTGTGTAATTATAGAATCTCCAACGATACAGAGACTCTGATGAGCTCTGCCGAACCGGAGCTTCAAAGATGAGAGCATTTGTCCGATTGGTGAACATGATCGGGCACGTTGGCCACAAGAGTCCTGTGGCTCTGTTTTAAGCCCCAAAGCAGAGCCATGATATGGATCAAAGGTCCACTAAGGCCAGAGCAGTGTCTGAGCGGGCCGTGACTGGGGATGTCATCAATTCAAAGCTTTGTGGAAGCTTAGCTCTGAGAAGCTGTTATTATTCTCTTTTTTTGCACAAAGACCACATCAGAGTTATTATAGCTGCTTTTTGTGTCTCTCCAAGCTGCAGGGAAACCAATCTGTCTATATTTTTTTTCGGCTAGGTCGCCCACTGCACAAAAAAAGCTTGGTTTTGAAAGGAAGAAAAAAAAGGAGCTGCGCATGTCTCAGCAGTTTAGATGAAATATAAAGAGAGAGAAAAAGGCACTGTGAGGTAGCAGCAGTCGAGAAGAAATGACAGAGGGGAAAATTATGGCGCTTGAGGGAAAATAAAGAGATGGAGGAGGGAGGGAGGCGAGGAAAGATTGTCAGAGAGGGATGAGAGAGCGGAAAGTACTACTGCAGCTCACCATGGAGCAGTAACCCTGAGCCACGTCAGCACAATAGAACAAGGAGAAAGAAAGTGGAACCTGGGGCTCCCCTTCCCTCCTCCACACTCGCCCACCCCATTTAACTGCTTTTCTACTGTTTGGCGTCTCTTATAGAGTTTTACGGTGCTCACCATACGTGTGTGTGTCTACTGTAGTTCCATCAAAGGAAAAAGCATGTGTTCTTTTAAAACATTTATTGCGTGAGACTAAGGACTAACTAAGTGTTCAGACATTTCTGGCATCTTTACAGGACCAGGGTTAACAATAGGAGATTCAAACACGTTGTATTGATTTAAATGAAGGATAAACAGGGATCCGACCGATAGAACACATGCAAAAGTAAGGGTCAGCATACTGCCTGAGGTCCCATAAACACAAAGTAGAGTTGACATAAATAATTAAGTTGAAGACGCCAATAAAACTTTTACCTGAGACGTTTGGGGCACATGGGGGATAAGAAGGGAGAGTTAGGGGAGACATGTTTAAATGTTTTACCCCAGAAATTTACTATGAGGTGATGTAAAAGGTCATAAAGCTGACCAGATGGCAACGCTAACCTGTAGCAGAGGCCAGTGATAAAGTTAAGCCACAACATCTGTGGGTGACGTGAAATGAGGAAAACTGGATAAAAAAGAGGCTTTCAGGCTTGGAGCTGCTTTGTTTGATGCTCAACGGTACTGGATAAAAAAAGGCTTTCAGGCTTAGAGCTGCTTTGTTTGATGCTCAACGGTAAATACAGACTGAGAAAAGCAGTTGACATTATCAGTGCAGAGAGGAGGAGAGTTCACTGAGGCAGACGCTCACCTGGATACAGCTGTTTGGTTGGGGCGCTGAGCTGGGCATCTTTGGATACTCTGTAGGCCACATCGGGTCCTTGTGTTGACCTCCTATGCGAGCAGAAGCCTGTCGTTTTTGTAACACCATCGGGTAAATTGGGAAAATCTAAAATCTTCAAGAGGTCTGCTGGTTCTGCTACAAAAAAGGAGAGACAAAAACAAAATGTTAGAAGTTCATTAAAAATGTCATTAAATTCAACTTCAGTTTGTTCTATACATGTTGTGACATATGCTGAATCAGAAGTACTGCCGTTTTTCTTACTCGGCTGTAGTTCGGATGAAGTTATTTTAAAACATTGAGGTGCTAAACTAAGATATGCCCATTTATAGATCACCATGATTACGGGTCACAGCTGCAGAAAAAACCCAGCCTTCCATCCCTAACCCTACAAGGTTAAATCTACTGCTGCCTCCCTTTGGCCACAACCGTGCAATTAGCACACATTCAGGCCCGTCGTCTCGACTGTCACCAGGCCACCACAGAAGTACACTGGTTCACAACAATGTGACATGGGGTTTGACCCTGGACCGCACCCTCGCATGCCAAAACCACACAGGACAAACAGCTGTTCCTTCAGCCAGATGCGCACAACAGTTCACACAATGAAACACATTAACATCCAGGGCAGGACACTGGGTCATGTCTTTTGGGCCAGTTGCACAAGGACAGGGGCTGTCAGGGATGTTGTAAGGGTGGACAAACACTAAAGTGAGAGAGAAAACCAAACAGTGAACAATACAAGGATTTTTATGGCACGGTAATGTAGCGTAATAATACAAAAGACAAAAGCAAGAATGCAGTGGGTTTTCACACAAAAAAATGCTGTCCTGTTGAATGAGCACCAAAGGTATCCCGTAGGCCCGGGTACTAAAGCTCACACAGGTAGTGCTAGTGTCAGCCTACTGGAAGGACCACACAAAATGTTGAGGAAAAAAAAAACTTCCACAGCCCAATCCATCTTGGAGTGGAAGGAGGCGACCGAGCCTAGTGAAAAAAAAGTGTTTGTACATTCTGATTTTCAATGTAACAACTTCCAGCTGGATGCCATTACACCGATTCACATGCAGCAAAGGTCAGCCTTCCAAAAAAAAATCAACATTCTTTAATGAGGTCTACGTGATGGAGCACTGCAGATGCACGTGTTCCATCCTCTACAGCTGTGCAGCAATGTTGAAAGGATAAACTCCGCTCACGTTTTGTATATACCTCGTAATAAACAGCCGCGGTATCAATATCAAAAAAAAAATTCTGACTATTCAGCCATGTGTGCAGTACAGACAACAGACATGGAGGAAATTGCGAGGCAACTGTTCGGAACCACAGCTGGAGACTTATGACAACAGGTACTTACATTGAGTGGGGTTTCTATACAAAATGCTCTGAAATCCTTTATCTATAGCCCTAAAACATGACTTCAGGGTGAAAGTAAACTACTCAATGTGCCACACCCACAGTTTTAGCACTTCAAAAAGGGTAACTACATCCAAATTCACTAATGTGCATTCCACAGGCTGACAGAGAAAGGGTCTAAACAAAGAGGACGGCTTTATCTGTCATCAGTTCATAATGAAGACAGGGGCTGAAATGTACCCACCGGCCAAAAAATGTCCGTCATTCATCCATGATGACAGAGGCTCACCTAATGAGTCAATAACTTTGCCTTGACACTTGGGAAGAAGCTGGAAGGAAGACATGGGATGTTTCAGTTGGAACACGTTCTCCTCCTGCTTTCCAAGAAATAGATCCAACTGCCAGGGGTACCACTACTCTGACTGGGGGCCACGGGCCACGGGCAAAGCAGCTACTATTATTGTCCTCAGATTTGTAATCCATGGAAAATGTTTACTGTGCTTAACAAGATGTTTTTGCACTGTGCTTAAGGAGACAAAAGGTCAAAGACGCACTCATGCCGTTACCGACAAAGTAAGTGTACGAGACCTGTACTAACACTAACTAAGTTATCGTATACAAATGTTGTATTATTTTATCTGTTGTATGTTTATTGTTTGCAGAAATAAAAAAGAGCAGCTGCAGCGCCGTCCGCTGAACCCAAGCAAAACCCAACCTGGGATTTGGGGACCTTGTAAAAACCTGACTGACCACTCTAGACCCCTATCCTAAGATGCTCTCCCACACAAAGCGATATGATGTTTTTCATTTTCTTTGGCAGTGGTAGAGGGGAAATACTGAAGTCTGTAATGCCCTGTGATGGATTTGCTGTTAATTAAAGTCTGCTCTGTCATATTGGCTTAGAAGAAGAAAAATCACAAGGGTTTATCATGTTTAAAAAAAAAAAGGGATGCACATGAAAATGTCTCTTGATTGGGGGAGTTGGTTGCCATGACTTACTCAGGATCTGGACTGCCTACAGTGAACTTGAACGGAAGAGTTTGGTATATTTTATTTTTATTCGGAGGCATGTGCTGTAGCATGGAGATACAACAACTGGAGCAGCTGGATGGTTCCAGGGAAAAGGAGGGGAAAAAATGACTAATGATATTCTGACTGTAAGAGTTATAGCTAGCCAGATAAATCAGAAAGAATAAATAAATCATACAATTTAATAATATTGTAATGTTATTGCTTCTGGAAACGCAAATAATGTGGAAAATGGACGTGGATATTATCCATCTATCAAGCTAACATTTATTCTGATTCACGTGTTATAGACGATTACGATCATGTATCAAAGAGGACCTGTTGACACTGCTATCTTTAAAGAGTTCTAAATTTGGCCACAAAAGTGCTGAAAAACACTTTTTAAATAGCAGTAATGACAAGCCCCCAGAAATGTTAAATGTATTTTCCTCCTTTTAATCACATTTTTCCAGTGGTAAAAGATGTTATTTGTTCATCAAATCAGAACCGCAAAACTGCTTGCCTCAGTAAACTCTTCAGAAGTCTACTGAGGCAAGCAGTTTAAGATTTCGACGGCTGAAGTTCTTTCTATTAAACTGTTACATTATGCTGGATAAGAAATCCTAAATTAGTGACTTTATCAGTAGAATGGCTTGAATGCCATATGTCACCAAACATCCTGTTAACGCTACATTATCTGCTACCAACCTGCCAGCATCAAGCACCAAATTATTCCTCACTGCAAGTAATGGAAACTCCATAGAAAAGGACTGAAAAAGTTAGCACAGATTCTCTTGGTTTTTACGGCTTTTAAGAGTCTTGTTCAGGAGGAGTGAATTTGCAACTCATCAACTGAACGTTCCAGCCATAGCACCTCTTTAAGTCTCTTCTAAACACTCCTTTCCTAGTACCTTACATGGACACAACCTTTAAAAAGCCATGCTGCTGTGCCTGTAGTGATGACAGGTATTTCAACACTCAACCTTCATTGATCTTCCGCTGCTAAAATCTTTCTGAAGTAGCAAGGGAGGTGGCAGGTATAGCGTGTACCCCAAACAAAACTCATTCAATCGAGAGTGTTGATATCATGGTTTTGGACTAGGGAAGGAAACTGGAGTACCTACAGAATCTCCTCTTTCCTCCGATCCCCTGACACACACACTCACACACACAAGGCTAGATCCCCCGACACACACACTCACAAGGCTAAAGTTACCATCTCTATACAGAAAAAAACTAAGACAAAACCAGCAAACCAGGGATGTTCTTGCTGCAAAGTAAAAGGTTCAACCATCTCCCATCATGTGGACCAATGCTCCTCCATTAAAGAATCCTGCCCTGTAATGTGTATGAAAATAACAGGTGTTTTGACTATGTCACAGCCATTCCATAAACATGGCATTTCATTTACAGTATATAGTTAGGACACCCACTAATGGACAGAATTATGTAAACTCGGGTTGTTACGGGACCAAAGAAAAGTCCAGATCCAGCTGGAGCCGATAATTAATGGACTCATTAATGTGGAATTTTCTTTTTTTTTCTTATACATGTCATACACAGTGGTCAGAAAAAAATATAGAATCCTACAAGTAGTGTCCAAATAACATCAGTACCAACATCATAATAACAGTGTTCTAGCACTGCATGGACTGAGGAAAACACAGAGGGCATCTCTACTGACCCCTGCTGAGGAGTGTTGTTTTTGCTAATCCACAGTGACATAAACTAATCCCATCAACATCAGCAGCTTTTTAAAGAAGGAAACAATTGTCATTTCTGGGATAACCTTCACTCAACACCTCTTATCATTCCTTTCAGCCACTTCATTCAGCTGTGTATCTATTACGCCAGCTCAAACAAGAGGCCGTCAACAAAATACAGTTGCTCTATTCCAACCTGAATAAGTAGATATTAAACCTTTTTAAAGTCCCTTAGAGTAATGTCACTTAAATTAATTTAAATTTAAAGGTTTTTTCAGTGTGAAAGTACCACCAGAGAAGGGCTTTGGCGATCAACAAACATCATTAACCAGGATTCCCTGCCCTCTCCATAAATTCTCACATTTCTATACACACACCTCCATTCATACACTCCTGTCACCTGCAGTTGACCTTCCTTCCGAACTCCTCCTGACCACATCCCAAGCCACAGGTGTTGGTCTGATTCCCACCTTGTTAAGCTGAGATGTTTACCTACTTAGAATGTAAGTTCCCTGGAGAGTGCCACACTTCTGGCACATGGTGCTAAAAATACATTTTCTCCACTGACCACACAGCCCCTCACATCGCAGCAGTGTGTTCCCTGCACTGGAGACTGTAACTGTTTACCTGACCTGGACTTGTCTACATTTGCACAGAGCTGGTCTGTGTGACCGCGGCTGTGGTTTAGACCTCTTTGGTTAAGTGATCCTATAGTTGATGCTGTAAATACAGGGCATCCTTTGACCTCTAAGGCACTCTTTGATCTCAACCATTCATCTTCTATCCCTTAATACCGCTGAGGGATAGGAGGCTAGAGAGAGCCAATCCAGACAGTCATCAGGTGAGGGTGGGGGACTAAGGCCAGGGCAGTTTGCCAGTCTATTGCAGGGCCACATATAGAGAAAATCAACCATTCTCACTCACATTAATACCTGAGGTCAATTTAGAGTTGTCAATTAAGCAAGTTTTTAACTGCGGACGGAAATCAGAGTATCTGAGAATGTACAAAGTCACACAGAAGGTTAAAATTGTGATCTTATTGCTGTAATGCACAGTACAAACCAGTGTATGACC